GAATTATTTCACATAGCCATCCTTATTTTGTATAAACCTTTCAAATATTTACGACAAAATCCTCTTACTAGGATGATTGTCTCCTTTGTACAAATATACTCATAGAAAATCAATACAAATACTTTTCTCAGAAATTTGTGTCATTTCCTTTTCTTTTCTCTTGCACTATTTGTTTATTTTGAGAAACGTCCAATGTTTTGTTAAATAGGCATATGCATTTGAAACATAATCATTTCCTTATGAACCAAGAAAGAGGATTACTGATAGGCCGAAGGTACAGTTGGAGAACCCGATACCCTTTTAAAGGAAACCACCAGGAGATTTGGAATCCATATCCCTAGCAAGTCTTGAAGCTCATCCCCAGTAGATTCTGGAAGCTTATCCCCCGCAGAGAATGGACGTCTCTCCCGAGTTTTATTCAAAGTTATTCCTCACAAGGACTTATAACTGGGTTATCCTCAGCTAACAACCACGGAAGATCGCACTCGCCAAAATTCTTCCTATCCCCAGCGGAGTTCATCAAAATTCCCCAGCATAACTTATCAATACAATCCCCAGAGGAGTTTATCTTTGTCATCCCCAGCCAGAGAATCCTCCAGAACTCATTTCCCCTCAGAGTTCAAATTTTCAATATCCCCAGCTGAGCTAAAGCTTCAAAATTATCTATTCCCCAGCGGAGCCAAACTAATGAACCGTTTCCCCACAGAGTTTTAGAAAGGAAAATCTTGAGTTCCCCAGTGAAGTCGCCAGAGATACTTCCCTCCAAGCTAAAGATTCTCAGTCTTACCTCCCCAGCATGAGTCTTTTAGATTGGAGCTCCCCAGTAAAAGTCATCAGGAATTCCCCAGAAGATTGGTATACAACCCAAGCTCTTTATTCCCCAGCAACAACCAGGAATTATTCTTCCCGGCAGCAGTCGAGATACTGTCACCTTCAGCCATCTCGGATTCATCCATCCATTGCAAGACAGCTCTCCAGCTTACATGCGCATTCATTTACATCCGTATCATATAACATACATTGTGTCATGCATCATAACATTGCATATAACTAACTCTTTACCTTTTTCAGGTAAGATCAGTCGAAAGACTAAGATCATTATCTTCCGAGATTCTTTCCAGGAATAGTTCAGATGTGACCCAAACACGGCAACATTCTAATGCTTATTCCAAATTTATCCAGATGTAGTTTTACACGAGCTCATCATCAGGAAGCCCTACACCGGTTCCTCCTCAAGATTTCTGAAAACAGTTCACGGGTTCTCCAAGTAACGGATGTTAACCTATCACTTGTTCAGATTCTTCTCAAGACTTCTGAAAACAGTTTATGGATTCTTCCCAACAACGGATGTTAATCTATCGACTTGTTCAGATGCAACTTTCTGAAAACAGCTTACGGACGCTTCCCAACAATGGATGCTGCTCTATTGCTTATTCAAACTTCAAGACTTCTGAAAACAGTTTACGGGTTCTCCAAGTAACGGATGTTAACCTATCGCTTGTTCAATTTCTTCTCCAGACTTCTAAAAACAGTCTATGGATTCTTCCCAACAACGGATGTCAACCTATCACTTGTTCATATGCAACCTTTTGAAAACAGTTTACGGAAGCTTCCCAACAACGGATGCTGCTCCATTGCTTATTCAACTTCAAGATTTCTGAAAACAGTTCACGGGTTCTCCAAGTAACGGATGTTAACCTATCGCTTGTTCAGACCCTTCTCAAACTTCTGAAAACAGTTTACGGATTCCTCCCAACAACGGATGTCAATCTATTGCTTGTTCAGACCCCCAGTTCAGAGATGGTCCAAAGCTTGGACACCTTCCTGATATTCCCTTCCAGATGGCATCTCTAAGCCCATCCCCGACAGGATTTCTGTTACCCTCTCAAGATGGCATCTCTAAGCCCATCTCCAAATGGCATCTCTAAGCCCATTCCCGCATTCATTGCTTTGACGAGTGCAAATTTCCGGGCACTCTAGTGTCCAATCTCCTTTTACCCTCGAGTCACGAAAGGCAAACTTACCAATCTAACTCTTTGGATTCAAGAAGATTGAACAGGGGCAACTGTTGTACCCCAAAATTTGCCCTCCCATTTCTCAATGATTTCTCATCACAAAACCTTTGAAGCCCAAGATCCAGTTAGGGTTTCATCTGCTCAAGACTTCTCCTTGCACTGTTGACCCAAATTAGGGTTTGTGTTTGCACCAAGATGTTTTGACCTAAAGTGCCTAAGATGACTTTCATGCTTCATATTGGACTCCCAAGTTTATCCATACCAAGTTTCAAGCTTTGATTCCATGTTTTGCTCAGTCAATTGGACAGTTGACCTAGAAATCAGCTGTATTAGGGAAAAAGTCAACTGTGGCCAATTGACAGTCAAACCTCATGAAAATTGACCCACATCAACATTATGAACTCATATGGACAATTTGATCAAGTTTGGATCACAATTCCATAAGAAATTTGATCAGATCACCAAAAGGGCAAAATGGTCATTTTTAGGGTTTTGACTGCACAAAGGCAATTTTTGACTATTTGACCTAGCCAATGGCAAACCAAGCTCATATATGGACTCAAGGACCCCATGGAATCATCTTGACATGCTCAACAAACTCAAAAGATCCCAAGTACACAAGATTGACAGTTGAATTTCCCAGTCAATTGATCAATTTTGACTGTATACTGGAAAGTCAAACTTTGACTTTTTGGTTAAAATCAAGAGTCAAGATTCATTTTTCATCAAAATATGCCAAATCATGAAACTTGTTCACCAAGAAATTACAAAATGCAAATTAGGGTTAGAAATTAGAATTTTTCATAACTTAGAATTTTTCTAAGTTATAAAAAACCCTAATTTTTTCCCAACTTTGCCCCACTTTTTCACCAAGATCCATTTGGATTCAAACAAAAGTCAAAACATGAAAGTTGTAGCTTGTTGCATAATCTACAACTTTTATTCACAAAGTTTTCCCAAATGAGGCTTGTATCTCAAGTTACAAATTTTTGAATAAGGGCACTAAAACATTCTTAACTTAGTGAAATTTTAACCTATTTTGACAAGGTTTTCTACCCAACTTCAAGGCCATTTTCCATACACTTCCACTTGGAATTTCAATTTGCATTTCAAAGATGGATTGTAGTACACATTCCAAGCTTTCCAAAATGTCCAAGAACTTCTCAAACAACCTCATGGTTAGGGAGAATAGAATTTTGCAAAATGGGAAAAAGTCACTTTTGTTCTTGGCCATGTACATGTTCATAACACTATGCATTTCAATCTCAGCTTGCATATCTTGATTACAGGTCCTTAAACCATCCAACACTCATAAATTTAATGCATATTCTTTGTGCCAAGGCCATGTTCTTTGTGTTCTAGCATTGCATAAAGGATTAATCCCAAAATAGATAAAGCATTTCTTCCATTTTTGCAAAAGGTAGCTTTATGTCCAATTACAAATCCAAGAAGTACAGTCCATATCTAATTGGCACAAGTTCATGAGTTAATCACACTGATCAAGGAGGGATTATGCAGCATAGTGTTGTACCCTAATTTTTGACCTAAGATTCCACTTGCATTTTTGCATTTTTTATACAAAAGTCAAGGTCACTAAATACGGTCGGTTTTAACCTCTCACCTTCGAGCGTTGACTATGCGAAGATTGTCAAGTGTTTTGAACATTTTTAGCCTATGCATCACTAATTTCTAATCGCATACAAAGGTGTATGTTCATGTTTTCTTTTGTGTCATGTGCAGAGACAGGTCTGAATCAAGAGCATCAGGTGTCGCGCCTCAATTAAGATTTTGAGTCTCCCAAGCCAGAAGTACGGTTGATTGTGGATTCTTGAAGACTGATTCATCAAGGCACACTGTTGCACCCTTGATTTCGCCCTTAATTTTTTCAGTCGCACATTCATACCATATTTTGTCATTTGGTCACAATCATTAGTAAATATCTTCATTCATCATATTTTGCATCATTAGTCGTATTTAAGTTGACCAGAAAAGTCAGTTTAAATCAAAGTTTGTATCGCCTTTCAGTTGTAAAATACCCGGCATTTTGCTTCATGCATTTTTATCTATTTACTCATTTTCTTGCACTGCTCCAAGTTGTTTATATGTCGATAATAAAATATTTCGGTTTTATAGACAAACTGTTAAAAGCGATTCAACAATGTACGAAAAATTAGCGAGAAAAATATTTCAAGTTTCCACCTTTTACCGATCATTTTATGAATCTGCGCTTCGCGTAGATTATGACGGTATGCTCGCTTTATTTTTCGGTACAGTTCGAAGTCTCATTTTTAACCTTAAACGTCTGTTTAGTCTGATATTTTTATTATTATTTTATTTTTGATTTTTTGACTTTTTGAATATTGTTTTTCTTTAATCTTCGTGACATGTAGTTTATTTTAATGTGTTCATTTTATTTTATCGCATAAATTTTCGTCCGTTTTTTATCGTTTTCGGTCATTTTGTGTCTTTATTTTTAATTCCGAAAAAAAATTCAAAAAAACTATTTTAAATTGAGTTATATTTTATACTTTTAGGTTTTTAAGTTATTTTATCATTAAAGGGCTTTTCTGTCATAAAAAATGTTTGTTACACTTTGCTTTGCTCTCATTGGTCGTAAGCAAGAGTTGCGGATCGATAGAAAAAGAAAATACAAAAAAAACCCACTCATCATCTTTATCTAAAGCTACCTCTTTGCTATGTCTTTAAAAAAACACAGCTCCTGTATATATCAATGGCACTGATAATATCCAAACATTTTCCTCTTGATGGCAATCTTCAACCATCAACACTACTCCCCCGCCTTACCTTCAACTTCTCCGCGAGCTCCCTTCTTCATAGCACAAACTCTGTTCATCATCATCTGCCATCCGTCTGATAACTCCCACCTCCAAAAATCTTCTCCTTCATTGGTTCATCTCACCCTTATGTTCCCTTCATCTTCCTCCTTCATCTTCCACACACTCCAAACACCCAAACTTTCCCCTCATGAGATCACAACCACCCTCTAAGTCTAACCCTTCTTCCAACACTTACATAGTTTTCTCCAAACTAATGGTCTCAATCATAACAACAACCTTATTTCTAACCTTGTTCCTTGTTCATGTCTCTTCTTCTTGTAACCAATTTGACAAAGATTCACTCTTGTCTTTCTCTTCGAATATCTCAACTTTATCACCTCACCCACCTCTTAACTGGTCTTTTACCTCTGATTGTTGTGATTGGGAAGGTGTAACTTGTGATCAAAATAATCAACATGTTACTCATTTTTTGTTACCCTCTAGAGGTCTCAATGGTTTCATTTCACTTTCTACTTTCACTTCTCTTCAATCTCTTGCTCATCTTAATCTCTCTCATAATAAACTTCATGGTAATCTTCAAAGTCTGTTTTTTTTCAATTCTTAACCATCTTTTAGTTCTTGATTTGAGTTACAATCGTTTCTCCGGTGAACTGCCACTTTGGAATGGAACCAGAAATAGCAGTGTTGTTGTTCAGGTGTTTGATTTGTCTAGTAATTCATTCAATGGAACATTGCCTGTTTCTCTGATTCGGAATCTTGCTGAAGGAGGTAATTTGATATCTTTCAATGTTAGTAACCACAGTTTCACAGGTCATATTCCAGTTTCAAACTTTTGTGTTGGTATAGATAAGAGTTCTTCTTTGAGATTCTTGGATTTTTCTTCCAATGATTTTGACGGTGCTATTCAGACTGGTTTAGGTGCATGTTCTAAGTTTGTGAGATTTAGAGCAGGTTTCAATCTACTATCAGGGAATATCCCAATTGATGTTTATGATGTTGTTTCACTCATTGAAATATCATTGCCATTGAATAAAATTGATGGAACAATTGGTGATGGAATTGTTAATCTTGCAAATCTCACAGTTTTGGAGCTTTACTCCAATCAGTTGACAGGTTCTATTCCTAAGGATACTGGTAAGCTTTTGAAATTGGAAAAATTGCTTCTTCATGTCAAAAATTTGACTGGTACGATTCCGCCGTCTTTGATGAATTGTAACAATCTCGTTGTGTTGAATTTGAGGGTTAATAGATTGGAAGGAAATCTATCGGCATTCAATTTCTCCGGATTGGTCAGGCTTGCTACGCTTGATCTTGGTAACAATAGGTTTACTGGTGTGTTACCGCCGACTCTTTACGATTGTAAGTCGCTTGCTGCATCGAGGCTTGCGTCTAATCAGATTGAGGGACATGTTTCGTTTGAGATACTTGGACTCGAGTCTCTCTCGTTCTTGTCGATGTCTGATAACAAGCTGAAGAATATCACTGGTGCTCTTAGAATACTCACTGGTCTCAAGAAGCTTAGTACCCTTATGCTCTCCAAGAATTTTTACTATGAAGTGATGCTGAACATGATAGAACCTGATGGATTCCGAAATATCCAAGTTTTAGGATTAGGTGGCTGTAATTTCACAGGTCAAATACCGAGTTGGCTTAAAAACCTGATGAAACTCGAGGCCTTGGATCTTCCGTTTAATCAATTCAATGGTTCGATACCTCCTTGGTTAGTGTAGCGCACAATAATCTGCAAGGACGGATACCAACGGGTAGTCAGTCTGATACTTTTTCCAACACCAGCTTTGAAGGAAACTCTCAATTGTGCGGTCTCGTTATTCAACGCCCTTGTTCTCCTCAACGAAATACTACCAGTACTTCAGCTAGAGCCTTCCAAGATGTATAAGAAAAGTGAGAATATCTACTGGTTAGTATTTGGTTTGCCTTTATGATTCACATGCTACTGTTGCTATCCAAGGATTAGGTGTAACATTTCTTTCCCTTTTCAGCTTTATTGTTATTTCTTACTTTAAAATATTTAGAATCATAATTAATAACTTTAGAATTTTTATTTAATTAGATATAAATTAGTAATGTTAGAACCTTTAATTAGTTTAGGTATATTTTGATAACTTAAAAATTTTAATTTGTTTAGATCTATTTTATAACTTTAGAACTTCTAATTAGTATAGATACATTTTGATAACTTTAGAATTTTAATTTAGTCTTAGAATTTTAATTTAGTCTTAGAATTTTAATCTTTAGTTTAGAATTAATTTAGTTTAGTATTAATTTAGATTTATTTTATAACTTTTTGTTTTAGCTTTAGTTTAGTAAACTTTAGAATTTTATGTGTTGTAGTATTATTTTAGTAATTTTAGGATTTTATTTCATTTAGATTTGACTTAGTAAATTTTAGAGTTTTATTTGTTTTAGTTTTGACTTAGTAAACTTTAGAATTTTATTTTGTTTTAGTAACTTTAGGATTTTATTTCATTTAGATTTGACTTAGTAAATTTTAGAGTTTTATTTGTTTTAGTTTTTGACTTAGTAAACTTCAGAATTTTATTTTGTTTTAAGTTTTATTTTAGTAACTTTAGGATTTTATTTCATTTAGATTTGACTTAGTAAATTTTAGAATTTTATTTGTTTTAGTTTTAATTTAGTAAACTTTAGAATTTTATTTGATTTTATTTAAGTTAACTTTAGAATTTTATTTATTTGGTTTTAGTTTAGTGACTTTAGAATTTTTATTTGATTTAGAATTAGTTTAATAAATTTATAATTTTTATTTGATTTAGAATTAGTTTAATAAGTTTATAATTTTTATTTAGTTTAATAACTTTAGAGTTTTTATTTGATTTAAATTTAGTTTAGTAGTTTTAGAATTTTCATTTGTTTTAGATTTAATTTAGTAACCTTAGGATTTTAATTTAATCTAGATTTAACTTACTAAATTTTAAAGCTTTAGTTTAGTTTAGATCAAATTCAATAATACTAGATTTTTTTTATAACCTTAGAATTTGTAATTAGTTTAGAATTATTTTAGTAAGTAATTTTTAATTTAGTTCGAATAACTTCTTTAGATAATTAGTTACATTCTCTTTTATTCTATTTAAATATCTTTGTCATTTTAATTTCTCGATGCTTTTGGTCATTAATCGGTTTCATTAGATTTGTTTTTCTTGTGAATTTTTGAATGTTTATACTTTGTGGATTCATCTTATTTTACTTGCTCGATTTATTCCAAGGGAAATGTTTCAACTCAGCTGACTTCTGTAATCTCAAGCCTCAACTCAACTTTAGTTTTGATGAAAGACAAACAAGCTAGTTTGATGAAAGACAAACAAGCATTATGGAAAGAAGGAAAAGAAGTGGAAATCATCTTAAAGCATCATTCACTCAAAGCTTCAAGGAACTTGGCAAGCAATCAAGTATATCAATTCTCAATTAAACTACATTGATTAGAAATGCTCAAAAATGATATACACACTTGCCACATCACTTCAATTATATTTCCAAACAATTTTTAAGTTTTTCTCTGCTGTAAATCGATTAACATCTTGTGTAAATCGATTTACACATGCTTTTTCAAAAAACTGTTTGCTCCTGCCAGCAATCGATTTACAGGTTGTGTAAATCGATTGATCACAGAACAAACTGATTTTTTAACACTTGTAAATCGATTGACACAACATGCTAATCGATTTACACTTCAAACTTTTTGAAATTCTGAACGTTACAAACACGTGCAATCGATTTGCATGTTATGTTAATCGATTTGCACATTGAAATTTTTGAAAAATCTGAACTGGTTTCAAGATATCCTTCATACCTTTTCTCCAATAGTTGCATGATCAAACATTGCATCTTGTCAAGTTTCACAAACAGAAAAGTGTCCTTCTGGAAAGATATCTTGATTACTATATATTACAAAATATTTCAAATCATAAAAAATCTCTTCTCTTGCAGCAAAATCTGAACTTTGTAAAATATTCAAACTTCATATTTCTTAACTTTTAAGAACAAAGATTTTCTGCACTTTCACACATATAAAGAACAGAAATCTTTGAGCATTATCTAACCAGTGTGTTACAGTTTGAATTGCTTACAAGAGAAGAAAGAAGAAACTTCAAAGAAGTCACTCTAAGTGATCAACATCTTTCAAGAAATCATACTTCATAAAAACATACAAAGTGTAACTTATTTCCAGGATTGTTGGAATTAAGTATTAGATTACTTTTGTTCCTTGTTGTCCATTATTGGAAACAAGAGGTATCTTTTGAGAGGATTGTTCTCATTAGACTTATTGGAAATCCAAGAGGGTGTTCTTGGTTATTTGTTAGGTTCTTTAGTGGATAAGACTAGGAAGAGTCTTGTAAAAGTTCTAACAATATAGTAAAATCTCTTGCGTGTTTGCAAGGGGACTGGACGTACTTCCGGGTTGTGGAAGGAACCAGGATAATTCTCCGTGTCTCTTTACTTTCTGCACTTTACAGTTTTCAAAGCACTAAATCAAAACCAGAAAGTATAAAATAAGTCAAAAATCGACCATCACCTAATTCACCCCCCCTCTTAGGCGCAATCTTAATCTTACAATTGGTATCAGAGCAGGTTATAGGTAACCTGCTCCTAGAGATCCAGAATGGCTTCCGCAAATCATCAACCAGTTTTCAGAGATGGTGGTAGTAACAACAAGCCTCCTCTATTTTGTGGTGAATATTTTGACTTTTGGAAAATACGCATGAAGGCGCATTTAGAAGCACAAGGAGAGGAAGTATGGGATGCTGTTGAAAATGGTCCATTTATCCCAATAACGGTAATCAATGGCGTTGGGTCTGCAAAGCCCAAAACTGTATGGGACGACGATGATAAAAAGAAAGTTCTCTATGACAAAAAGGCAATAAACCTTCTTCAAGGTGCTCTCAGTATGGACGAATTTTTTCGTGTCTCAAACTGCAAAACAGCAAAGGAAATTTGGGATACCTTGGTTCAAACTCATGAAGGAACGGCTGAAGTAAAAAGATCAAGGCTAAATACCTTGAGTCAAGAATATGAACTATTTCGAATGCAGCCCGGAGAATCCATTCTTGACTTACAAAAGAGATTTGTGCATTTGACAAATCACTTAATTGCTCTTGGTAAAACCCTGTCAAATGATGAACTCAACTTGAAAATCCTTAGATCATTGACTAGGGAATGGCAACCAAAGGTAACGGCAATCTCGGAAAAGAAGAGTCTTTCCGCAATGACTTCCGCTACATTATTCGGCAAACTTCAAGAATACGAAACGGAACTCGGTAGACTTGAAAAACATGAGAATCTAGAAAAGAAGTCCAAAAACATTGCCTTAAAAATTGATTCAAAAGAAGTGGTAAAAGAAGACAATCCGGAAGAAGATGAAAATTTCATGCTTCTAGTGAAAAGACTTGGGAAGTTTTTTGGCAGAAATGACAAAGGCGGATCTCATGCACATAAGAGAAAGCACTTCAAGAAAAGAGAAGCCTCCACATCAACTCAAGATGTCTCATGTTATGAATGTGGAAAGCAAGGACACATCAAGCCAAACTGTCCAAATCTCCCAAAGAAAAATGGATTCAAAGGAAAGGACTCAAAACAAAAGAAAGCCTACATAGCATGGGAAGATAATGATATGAGCAGTTCATCGGAATCGGAAAGCGACGAATGTGCAAACTTAGCCTTAATGGCATCGCATCACTCCGACAATGAAGAAGAGGTTAGTAATGAATTTAATCTTTTTGATGATGATGTTCAAGGTGCAATTGATGAACTCTTGAAAGAATGCAAAAGTTTATACAAAAAGGTGTCAAAACAAGAAAAAGAACTTCTAAGTTGTCTAGAAAAAATTGACACCATGACTAAAGATTTTGATCTTCAAAAACAGAATTTTATAAAAGAAAAGGAAAACTTTGCATGCTCCAAGTGTGAATCAAATGTCTTTCAAATTGTTCAATTGAAAAGAGTCATTGAACGATATGAAAAAGGACAAATAGGATTGGAAGGATTACTAAGCCAACAACGTTATCCTAATGATAAAAGAGGTCTTGGTTATGTGAATACTAAGAAACCAAGTAACAATCCCACTGTTTTTGTAAAGGCTAGTAATAGTTCCAATCCCAAAAAAGTAGAAAAGAAGCAAGTTGTTCATAATCATCAAAAGAAAAAGGCTAATGTATCTAAAAGAAAACAAATTCCTAGATACAAGAGCAAATTTGTTCCAAACTGTTTTTACTGTGGTATTATTGGACACACACCAAATGCATGCTATATTAGAAATTTCAGTATGGCTAGTGGACATTATGCATGGGTGAAAAAGGGAACTAACTATGAAGGACCCAAGGCAACTTGGGTACCTAACAAGAAATAATTTGTTTTTGTAGGTATGCTTGAAATCCACTTCAAATGTTTGGTATCTTGACAGTGGATGTTCAAAGCATATGACAGGAGATGTACACCAATTTTCATATCTAGTACATAAAGCCAAAGGGTATGTCACCTATGGAGACAACACCAAAGGAAAGATTCTTGGCGTTGGAATAGTTGGCACACCTCCATCCATTCAAATTGAGGATGTTCTCTATGTTGAAGGATTAAAGCACAACCTTCTTAGCATAAGTCAACTTTGCGATAGAGGGTTCAAGATCAAATTCAACAAAGAAGAATGCCTTATTATGGATGAGGCAACCAATGAGGTAAAACTCAAAGGTATAAGATCTAA